ATTTTCCTGATTCAATTCACCCGTGGAGGCCGCATTCCTAAGTTGTTTCCGTGATTTGCGTACCATGGGCCGTAGCCAGCTGGTGGCTCTGACTGCTGACTTTCCGGTGGGGCAGAAACGGCCGTTATCGGAAGGGCGAGAGTGGGTGTGGCTATGCTGGCTATCGTCTTCCGGCAATTGTCTTCTGTATGCCCGATGCAACCGCACTCAAAACATATTTGAGGTAGATTTTCGTACAACACTGCTTGCCAGTAGTCATCAAAAAAGATTCGTGTCGGGAGTGGTTTGGTCATAACCAGTTCAACTGTCAGACGAGCGAACTTTCCTCGTTGGAGTTGTTCTGTGTGGTAATCGAGCTTCACGGTGCGACCAATAAGGTTCCCCAGAGCAAATAAGATCTCTCGATGATATAAGTGGACTGGCAACTCCGGGAGTTGAATCCATGCCACCACCGATCTGTGCGGCTTCTGCCAGGTGCGAAAGCTCGGTGTCCATTGGTGAACGACGAGATAATGATGGAGTATCATCCAAGGCCCTCCAGTCAGGGCTCGGAGATAATCATGTTCATTGCTAAACAAGGCCAGAAACGTATCATTCTTCAGATCTAGGATATCCAGAGATCCTGTTGGTTTCCACGTCCATCGTAGCTGAGAACATATATAGGAATAGGTGACCGGCGACCGAGCAGGCGAAGAACTAGAGTTCTTTTCCAGGGGAGGCAGAGTCTTTCCTTGAGCTTCTCTGAGATTTTAAGCGATGACTCTCCTCCTTTGGTTCCGACTTCCATGTCATGTTCGCCCACGAATGTCCAAATGTTCGTCTTGCTGACCACCTCCGTCGATTGGCCTGTGAGAGCATTCTTGAAACTGAGAGGCGTGGGGAGACATGATCTATGATAGAGGTTCTTTGAGAGACAGAGGGGGGTCTGGCGGTCGTTCGACCAGGGAGGGGTCCGCCACCGTAGGGTCTTTCATCGCCTGATCCGTTGAGAGCATTTTTCCTCGCCCTAGCTAATCAGGTCTCTCACTTATCACTTAATTATGATTCTGTAGTTAGTTAATGATATATCATATGCAATTTAGACCTGAAAGTCAATCGAAAAGACGTAGTGCGCGTTCTGTCCTCTCGTTCCTTCTCTGATCATCGGAGGCGGTCATGCTATCGTCGTCGATGATCGATTCATTCGACCTCTCCCCACTAGGAGTGGAAATCGGTACGGTATCGGTATCCCAATACCAAAAGACGTGTGTGCTATATTTCATTAATTTTTAATTTTAGGTATTTCTCGATATGTCGGTATATACCAATCCCAATCCCGTAATCCCGAATAGCACTCCAAAATGAATCCCAAACTCATCAATCAATAAAAAAATAAGTCAATATTCGATAATACCAAATAGTGATAAACTCGGTATATATTTTGTATATCCCAAATACCGGTACCAAACTTCCAGCCCTACTCCCTAGGGGTGGAAATCAGTACGGTATCGATATCCCAATACCTAATACTGAAATCTCGAATACCAAATTACACCCTAAAGTCATCCCAATCCCATTCCCTAAATAATTTTGGTATCCCAATCCCAATCCCTAAATATTTCGGTATCCCAATCAGTTCTTCAGTATCCCAATCGATATACTCGAATATGAAATCAATTATGTTTGTAATTAATAAATTAATATTTACATTATATTTTATTGTTTAATTTAGACCAAAGAGGCTAAACAAAGAGTCTTGAGTTTGCCTAGAGCTAGAATATGTATAAGGAGAATGGAGGAGATGCGACATCTTAAAATTTTGTCATTGGTAATTTTAATTTGACGAATTGGAGGCTGAGAGACGACTAATACTAGTGTTTGCTTTTTAGTGTTATGAAAATAACAAGAGATTAGGTGAGAAACGAGAGTTACTTAAACTGGAAATTGAGTTGGATGGGGGCTTCTAAGTTGTGAAAGAGTGAGGAATGACTAAAGATTGTGTGCTATATTTCATTAATTTTACAATTCGGTATTTCTCGGTATTTCGGTATATACTGATCCCAATCTCTTAATCTCTAATACCGAATAGCACTCCAAAATGAATCTCAATACCAATCCCTAAAAAATAAGCCGATATTGGGTAATAACAAATAGTGATAAATTCGATACGATATTCGATATATCTCAAATACCAGTACCAAACTTCCAGTCCAAGGTTGTCAAACTGGTTTAAGTCATTGAGTCGGTTAAGCAAGGGGTTTGAGGTTTAATAGTTTGATCGGGGTCCGACCGGTTTGTGCCATTTTAGACATTTGCTAAATATCTATACAAATAAGGTAGTAATTAAAGATTTAATGACCAAAATGAAATTGATCTTACATGTATCTATTAAAAACTTATTTTCCACAAAATAAATCTACCTAAGCTCCATGACCTACCCACCATCTCCCTTCCTTCGTTTCTCTTTCTCTCTTCTTCTCCTTCTTTAAGGGTCAGACCGAGGACTTCCTAAAGACCGTTTTGAAACATGACTTAGATCGAACCAGATCCAACCGAAGGTCTAATAGGGATTTAACCACCTTGTTCCAGCCCTACTACTCCCCACCGTCGTCTCCCAATGCAATTCCACCACCGTTCCTTCTTTCCTCATTGCTTTTTTTTAAAACCCTAACTGTTAAAAAAGGATTCATTGTTATAAGTTGTAGTCACTTAGGGGTCATTTGGAAGTTGAGATTCTTCAAATATGTGTATTTGATGAATACATCTATTATAAATACAAAGATTGTAAGAATTAGATGATTGGAAGAATGTCTTGTTTGGTTGTAGCCATTCAAAATTTTTAAAGAAAAGAAAAAATCACTTTATGAGTTAAAATGTAACAAATTAAAGCCAACAATGACCTTTTTGTTGAGATTTAAAATGAGTGATTGTGGGTGATATGAGATTTGAGGGCCCACTTCAAATGCATGTATTGAATAAAGTTTTAGAAAAAAAAACGATAAATTCTCTAAAATACATAAATTCAAAAAATCATTCATCTAGAATCATTACTTCTAAACCACCGCTTAATTAATTGATATTTGTCACCACAACGTAACAAATTATTCGTTCATTTCTCCTAAAATGCGCACCACGCATACAACTTGCAGGAAGAAGACACGTCGTTATCAGTCCCACCTACCCCACATGTGGGCCCTACCACTTATCCCCCAACTTTAAAGCCGTTCCCACAACAAGAACGCCGTTCCTTCTCACCTCTCCACATCACCTCTTCCTAATCGGGTTAATTGTATGGTTGGTCACTGAAATTACAAAAAACGTTCATGTTTGGTCACTGAAAATATTTAAATCCAATCTTGGTCACTCAAATTAGTTAAATGGTTCAAGTTTGGTCACTCTCCGTCCATTTCCGTTAACTCTAGCTTACGTGGCAGTCAACTTTCATAGTTGACCATTAAATATGTGATGTGGCAATAAAAAAAATTATTAAAAATAAAAAACCTAATTTCTTTTTTACACACCTCAATACCCTACCCAACCCAACCTCACCACCACCAGAACACAACCTCCGCCCGGCAGCGGCATTCCTTCCGCCGACGAAATGAAGCGCCCAATACACTTGCCTCCATGGGACCTACTCATGCTTCTCCCTCGATTGTGTGAACAGACCCGGAGCCCGATTGATCCAGGCCGCCGCGGATCTGACCATCTCCGATATCCTGTTTCGACCTACGTCCATCGTCGTCTTCCAATCGTTCTTCGACCATAACCGAGCGAACAACCACAACAGCCACACCATTTCCCTCGTGAAAATTCAAGTCACCGAGCTCGTTGACGGATTTTTCGTCGGGTTCTCCTTCAATCACGCCGTCGGTGATGGGACATAGTTCTGGAATTTCCTCACCGCCTTATCTGAAACGTTTCGGGAAAAAACCCCAATCTCCCATCCTTCGATGAACAAACGGTGGTTCTTTGAAGGCCACGGCCCGATAATCCCTCTTCCGTCAGATCAAATCCCTAGCCGCTACGAATCGCCAAAGCTCCTCGAGTGCTTCTTCCACTTCTCGGCCGAATCGATTGCTAAAATCAAATCGAAAAGCAACTGCCAATTCCGGACCACCAAGATCTCGTCGTTCCAATCCCTATCCTCATTGGTCTGGCGACGCATAACCCGCGCTCGAAATTTCCCTCCGGAGAAGATCACCGGGTGCCGTCTCGCGACCAACAACAGGGAAAGGATGAATCCTCCCAATCTTGACTACTTCGGGAACTCGATTAATCTTATGAGGACCTCCGCCCCGGCGGGGGAGCTACTGGGGAACGATTTGGGGTGGGCGGCGTGGCGACTGCAAGAGGCGGTGGTGGGGCACAGCGATGAGAAGATCAGGGGGATTTTGTCGTCGTGGTTGGAGCCGCCAGTGGTTTACCGGATGGAGCAGGTGTTCGATACGGTTAGTGTGATGATGGGGAGCTCGCCGAACCTGGAAGGAATGCCACTGCCTGGCCGGAGGTTGTGTTCCGGTGGTGGTGATGTTTGGTCAAGTAGGGTATTGGGGGTGTTAAAAAAAGAAATTTTTATTTTTTTATTTTTTAATGAATGTAATAATGAGGTGGAAAATATAAAAAAATATTTTTAATAATTTTTTAATTGCCACGTCACATATTTAATGGTCAACTATGAAAGTTGACTGTCACGTAAGCTAGAGTTAACGGAAATGGACGGAGAGTGACCAAACTTGAACCATTTAACTAATTTGAGTGACCAAGATTGGATTTAAATATTTTCAGTGACCAAACATGAACTTTCTTTGTAATCCTGTGACCAACCATGCAATTAACCCCTTCCTAATCCTACCCCATAGGCCCCAAAACGGTCCACCCATAGCCCACACGAATTTTGGTGCGGACGCTCTCACCCGACCCCAACCCCAACCCCGTAATAAAACAGAAAGATAATTTTTCTTTTTTTCTTTTCATTTTCCATCTTCCTACTATATATCCCCTCTTCCTTCTTCTCCTCCTCCGCAACCTCATTATTTTCCTCTTTCCCCCCTTTCCCCTCTCTCTCGCTACAAAAATCCGCCATTATTAACCAGAGAGAAGAAAGACATAACAAACAGAAAGCCCCCATTCGTTTTCGCCCAATCTTTTCCTCTTCCTTCCATCGACGGAAGAAAGAGGCGAAGAGAGAGACCAGGGAAGAAAAGAAAAAAAAAACATTACAGAAACAAATTTACAATATCTCGACGCCTATATCCCTACCATTTAAGCTATGGCAACGGAGATCTTGAGTCCACAGGATTGTCTCACCCAGCGGATCAGAGTCCCTCCTTGCCGCCGGCGAAATTTTCACTACCACGGCCACGCCAACAACGGCAACGGAAATGGAAATTGTTCTAGCAATAACATTAGCAACAGTACATCGTCTAACCCTAGGTTTAACAGAAAGTCGGCAGCGGGTGGGCAGAGGCCGTCCGACCACCACAGGAAGCGTCATCAGCCGGAGCCGTCCATCTCGAAGAGATCGACCTCCGCCGATGACTTGAGGATCTCCTCCTCGAAGAAGAATCACCACCACCACCAGCACGGACACAGCCTGGTGATGGATAAGGTCACGATTCTCAGGCGTGGTGAGTCGCTTGATTCCAGAAGCGCAGAAACGAGTTCTTCGTCGTTGGTGGTGAACGATACGGAGAGGATTGGGGCGGATCCCGAGGCGGTGTCGAGGCAGATCAGAATCACCGACGCGAGGCCACCGCCGGCGCTAGGGGTGCCGATGAAGTGCGACGTGTACGCCGGATCGGCGTTCGCGATGTCTCCGGCTCCCAGCGCGCTCCCGTTGCCGTCTTTCTCGAAGAAGAAGCAGGTTCCCGTTGACGACTCGGCTACCAGGGACCTCCGACGCTTGCTCCGGCTCGATCTTTGAGATCCCGAAAGGATTTTTGGAGATCTCGTTTCAGAATCGCAAAACATTTTAAAAAAATTATTCTGTTCTCGTATGCGTCGTCGGCCGAGCAGCTCGCCTGAGATTTCCCCGGCGTTTCCCGATCCGGAAACAGTCCTCGTTAATATTTTTTCTAAAAGCGGGGGGGCAGATCGGGAATTCTGGGAAGTTTTGGGGAGCTAATCGATTATTTTCGGGGGCGTTGATTTTAAGGTAATGAAATTTCGGGCGAACTGGTGGGTGGTTGGTTGGATTACCGGTGGTATTATTGGTAATTAGTGGAAGAAGGTGTATGGAAATGGAAGGAATTAATTAATTAATGCGAGGTAAGTTAGTGGATTTGTGATGTTTGTAATGTTTGGAGAATCGGTGGGGGGTTTGTGAAGTGGGGAAATTAGTGGATTTTTCTTTTTATCTCTTTTTGGGTTGGGTGGCCAGGTGGGTGCTGTGTTGTGGGCTTCGAGAGGGGGAATATGTAAAATTTCTTACTGATTATTGTACTGTAAAAAGTAAGATTGAAGATAATTTTGGAGGGGAAATTAAAAAAAGGATTAAGAACTTGGGTCAAATTATTAATCTCATATAATACTATTGGTAACACAAAATATTATTTTAATGTTTTCACTGTACTGGCTGGTTCGCTACATCGGAATTTATTTCACTGAAACTGGACCATTAGATTAGATTAGTTATCAGTGGGCAACAACGGTTAACACAATATAATAGAATTTATTCGGTTTTGATTTCATGGGTACTCTTCAAAGTAAGGAAATGGGATTGAATCGGTATTGAATAAAAGTAATTACATAAAAAGTTAGTTGGATGATATTTTATAGCTTGAACAAAAGTTCAATTGTTTTTAAATTGTTAAATCCACGTTTTATATGAGCTCAGCTTTTTTTATGTTTCTAATTCGACTGATCAATACTATATGATTTCTAAAACATTAGTTATTATGTGACATAGCTTTTACTGTGCATAATTATTTCTCTTTGCCTTGCAATTTAACTTTTCAGAGGGAAAGAAAGGCCCTTCAATGAAGGCTTGTACTAAAAGGGGGTCTTGGGTAGCCCTTGTTCGGGCCTTGAAGCCCAGATACTTAAAGCCCACCCACCAAGAAATTACAATTTTTAGTGTAAGTGAAATAATAGCATACCATAGTTTGACCGGAAAAACTCTCAATCCGAAATTAAATTCCCAGATGGTTTATAGTGGTATGAAAATGTCGAAACATGATTAAACTACAATCTCATTACAATATTGTCTATCTCTATCTTTTTCGGTACAATTTTACAGTATTTGGTTTTCATTTGTTACTCTTGGCTGGAGTCCTATATTTGTGGTGTATTTAGCTCTAGAGGACCCTAGGCCGATGCCACGACATTTGGGCAGGCAGGTTATGTTAGAAACCGAACAAAAAAATAGGGTTACCGATTTGGCTGAGTCGCAGACTGGGTCGCTCTCTTTAAGACGTTCGCGGTACTGCCTTCGTTGCGCACAGCAGACTATCAGCCGGTTGCCTCCAGGATAAAACAACCACTCTAATTTTTTTGCTCATCGTTTTGTGCGAAAACCGGAGCTCTATGAACAACAAAATTAGAGTGGGTGTTTTATCCTGGAAAATTAGAGTGCTGGCTGATTTTGTTGCTTTATCCTTGGCCAATCTGATCTCACCTCATGTTTGCTGATGATTTGCTGCTTTTCTCTGATGGATCCAATTTTGTAATACAATGTATTCAAAGAGTGCTGGCTGAGTTTAGAACTATGTTAGGTCTTCAGTCGAACCCAACAAAATGTTAGCTATATTGTGGGGGAATTAGTGAGCACTGGCAAAAAATTATGGCGGAGTTCTCTGGTTATAAGCTGGGGTCTCTCCCTGTCAGATATCTTGGCCTCCCCTTGCTGTCAGGTAAACTCACTATTAGAGCTTGTGCTCCTCTGATTGATAGGGTCACTAGGAGAATTGCCAGTTGGAAGTCAAAAACTCTATCTTATGTTGGTAAATTTCAGTTGGTAATGTCTGTGTTGTACAGCCTTACTCAGTTTTGGATGTCTATCTTCATCTTGCCAAAAGCTGTTATTAGATCTATTGAGAAACTCTGTAGTGATTTCCTATGGGGTCTGGGGGATGGAGCAAGGAAGAAGGCAGTGGTTGCTTGGGCAAGGATCACTTATCCTAAAAAAGAGGGTGGGCTTGGTCTTAGAGATATGAGCTCATGGAACTTTGCTTGTGTAACGAGGCATATTTGGGCTATCCTTCTGAAGCAGGGGTCACTCTGGGTGGCCTGGATATGGGAATACAGAATTAAGAGAGGTAGTTTCTGGGATGTTACTACAAAGCCAGGATCTTGGCTATGGCTCAAGTTGCTCAAGAGCAGAGACAAGTTGAGGGTTTGGCTATCTGATGATGTTGAGGGAGTGTACTGGAAAGGAGATCATCTAGAAAAGTTTAGTATTAAGAAGGTTTGGGAGGAAGTTAGGCCTAAAAGTAGGCTTGTGGCTTGGAATGCATTAATCTGGAAAGGGTCCTACATCCCAAAAAACCAGTTTCTTGTGTGGCTTGTGGTCAGTGATTACATTGTAATAGGGGACAAAATTCAAGGTTGGGGTGAAGCTGGGAGTTATGGTTGTGTTTTCTGTCCTTGTCCTCTAGAGACAAGGTCTCACCTTTTTGCAGAATGTGGGGTGTATAGACAAGCTTTTGCTGCTTTGTTTGTTAATTTCACATGTCAAAACCATGGAAATCAATGGTCTGGTGAACGTGCCTGGGCATCACAGCAGTTTCAAAAGAGGATTGAGGCTGCTCTGGCAGGGAGGATGATCTGGCAGGCCCTGATTGCTGCAGTCTGGAGGGAGAGGTGTAAGGTCAAATATGGTGGGAAGCTGCTTGATTTGGAAGGACTAATCAGATTGGTGAAGAGTGAGTTGATAGTGGTTCTTGCTCAGTTGGCAGAGCTTGTTGCCAGCAAAGTTTTGAATGCTTTTTGATGAAATGAAAGTCTCAACCAATTCATAAAAAAAACCAATAATTGAACTAATTAATCTGCGAAATCTCTTTCAGCCGCTCGCACTCGGCTTTCCATCGTTGACTAGTACCCGCGTTCTCACCTGGTGACGCGATTGAGGAGATTATGGTTCGATTCGGTCGAAAGGACCCTGGTTTACAAAATATGTCATTTTCTCTTCCGAATTTCGAACCGAATAACATTAATTCGGTCCCTGTTCGGTTAATATTCGGTTTTACCGAATCGTATGCCCACCCCTACCCACCGAGTAACCACGGGTATTCAGGCAACCATGGGTACGAATCCTAAAGTATGAACTTATACACATATATGCACATACATACTCTTGCCCATTAAAAATTCTCAATACTTGTAACTGGTCTAGCTTCAACAATCCACACAAATAAAAACAGCAAACACATAATAATTGTTCTTGATTCTACATTCCACACAAACAAAAACACAATACATCATATTTGTTCTAGCTTCAACAATCCACACATAAATAAAAACAGCAAAGACAATATTAGAACCAGACCACATCAAATGCTCACTGCTTAACTTATGCTTCATGACATCCATCAAGGCATCATTAGTAGAACAATTATCCAAGGTAATCATAGATACCTTTGTGTCAATATTCCAAGCAAGTAAAGTTTCAAGAAGAGCCTGAGCAAACACCTCACTTGTGTGTGGGCAAGGAAAATCGACTGCTGGGTAGGGTTAGGGCTAGGGAAATTAACCATTTGGTTAGCGGGCCGAGTATAACAGGGCGGGTATTATCGATTACCATACTCGTACCCTACCCTTTATTTTGAAATCGGGTATTACCCGTACCCGCCCCTTAACCCATCAAAGCGGGTAATTACCCTTGTTGACCGGTTATGGTCGGGTAGGGTACCCATGGTTACGGGTTGGATTGACATCCCTAATGACATGGCTTAGATACCAAAAACAATGGGACACCCAGTCGATAAGTAAGCAAACTACGATATGTCCTCCCATTCAAAGTCTGCCCCAGCCCAGCAATAGGAACAATGCACAACCAATTAAAAGAGTGTGCACTCTGCTGAGACTACCACAAAGCCACCTGACGCGTAGTCAACGAGAAAACAGAATCTGAACTAGGAGCAACCTTCGCGAAATATATGTCTGCAAATTTCTTCATAAGTTTTGGACAACAACTCCACTAGGATCACGTAAGAGATCAGATGCTGTAAACTCATTAAAGGTGCGTAGGGCATCATGAAAAGAAGAACGAGGAGATAGGATACCTGAAGGACCTAATTATGAGTGGAAAACTTTATTGTACTTTGTAGACAATTTAAGTTATATTTGTATTTGTCTCTAAAGATTATTATAATTCGGTATATATAACATGATTATAAGGGCATTTATATTTGTCTCTAAATGCGATTATATTTGTGTCCTACATGACATAGGCATAGGAAGCATTTGTATTTGCTTATAGAGACTATTAAATTTATTTTCATATAGCATAATTATAAGTGGCATTTGTATTTGACTCTAAAGAGTATTAGATTTCCATATATATAACATTATTATAAGGAATATTTGTATTTGTCTCTAAATACTATTATATTTGTCTCTATATGACTTAGCTATAGGATGCATTTGTATTTGCCTATAAAAATTATTAAATTTGTTTCCATATAGCATAATTATTAGTGGCATTTGTATAAAAATTATTAAATTTGTTTCCATATAGCATAATTATTAGTGGCATTTATATTTGCCTCTTAGGAATATTAGATTTGTCTCTAGGAGATCGTTTGGATGGGTTATTATGATGAGTTATTTAGAACAAAATAACTTGTAATGAGTTATTTGGTCTAAATAACTCGTTGTTTCCTATTAGATTTGTCTCTAGGAGATCGTTTGGATGGGTTATTATGATGAGTTATTTAGAACAAAATAACTTGTAATGAGTTATTTGGTCTAAATAACTCGTTGGGTTTATAATTTGAATCTTGGATACGGGTTATTTGGGAATAACTGGGGGTAACCAGTTATTTCTAAATAATACGTTATGCGTTAAACGCCAGACCATTCTGCCCCCGTCCCCACCTCTGACCTATCTCCTGTCGCCTTTTACTCTTCTTCTCCTCTTCTTCAATTTTCTGCTCGAAAGCAAAATCCATTGAGGGCCAGAAGTTACTTTTGCGACCTTTGGATTTCATTATTTATGCAGATCAATTTGAGTAGGGTGAAGGTTAGGTTGCAGCTTCGAACAGAGACTTTGCGGCGGCGACTCCTTCTATGGCGGCGGAGACGAACCGTTGTTCGATCCCTCTCCCTCTTCTCGTTCCTCCTCATGCAGTCCGCCTCCTACGATTTATCTCCCTTTTCTCGTTCCTTCTCTGGCGGTGACGACGGCAAGGATACAGAGAAGGGATTTTCTGGTTCGGGAAGAGATTAGCGACGGTGACGAGTTCCGCTCGAAGATTGCAGAGGACAAGCGCTCTGCTGCTTCCAAGTCGCAATAGTCGGGGAAGAAATCAGATTGAATGAGCATCAAGATTTTCCCTTTCTCTGATTGTGCATGCAATTTCTCCCTCTCCCTCAATTGACCATGCGATTTCTTCCTCTCTGCTTTCAATCCGATGGTGGAACTGATTTGAAAAGGGCTTGTTATTCTTCTCTTAATAAGGTTTTTGTCAGACAAAAGCATCTAATTGAAGTAGAGAATGTCCCCAGATCCAAAGAACTCACGGATGCACTTCACATTTTGAGTTCAGATGAGGAATTGACTTCAATACTCTTACGGGAAGAAGAAGATTAGTTGTTGGTGTGTTGTTTGTAATTGCAGAAGGGTAGAAGGCAAGCTATTGACGAGGGTATATTGGTACTTTTGCTTTTTTAATATGGAAAACCATATTTAAAATAACTCATCATCCAAACAAGACATTTTTGGTCATTTGGATGCAGGATTTGGGTGTGGGAGTTTAATTAAAACCACTCATTTGGAAAGCAATTATATGATAAGAGATTTTAAATATTAGAGATTTCAGAAACCCACAATTGTGGGATTATGAAATAGCCGATGGTCATCAGCTATTTTAAAATCCCACAATATTTGGGCATTTTGTTACATAAATGCCCATGCTCTTTTTGTGTTAATCCTACTTTATCCTCCTCATTCTATTAACCTATCCATCAACCCATTTGCCTGTCGTCACTCTCAACAGAAGAAAGGAAGCTCAACGAGCGTGTGGGCATCTGAAGCGACCACATCGGCGGCAACGAAGTAGCAGTCCGACGATTGAGTAGCAGAGGCGTTGGGTCTGTTAGGTCAAGTCTTTTCAAGTTAGTTGCTCTTCTTCGGGTTACAATATGGATGTTTAGGGTTCTGTTCTTGGGTTTTTGCGTGATGTGGGCTTCTTCTCCCATCTCTTTGTAAAGTTGGTTTGTGGGTTACCTGCATAGAACCATATCCTCGTCGGAGCCATGTTGGGACGGGAAAGTAACGGGATACACCAAGTGGTGGATGCATGTTGGCTTTGGAGATGGCGGATGAAGAACGGTGCCCTACCGATGATGAACCTGTGACCGACGAACGGCGGCAGCTGCTGTCCTCCACAGCGCAGCGAAGGAAAGGATCGACAATGATGAGAAGAAACCCTAGTTGGTGCAGGAAGTGGGGTGCTTTCCTTTAATGTTTACTATTTATTTCGAAAAGGCTGCTAATGGATGGCTGTAAGAGGACCTGTAGATTCGTTCATCGCCTGATGAAATGGATTTCCCGGACCTGGGTAAGAAAGTCCTTTGTGACGGGAGTATTGAACCCATATTATTCCAACCGCTTTCTAGATTTCCGTTGTCGAGGAAGAAGAAATAGCAGCAGCGAACGACCAAATTTGGGCCCTTGTACAAATAAATAGGAAAGGTTAATTATGTAATCTTGCATTCTCATTTTATAAATGTCACATATGTTCCCAAACGTGTGATTTGCCTAAAATTCCACACAAATTCCACAAATTAAAAACCTGGGGTTTTAAACCAGTGATTTGAGCCAAAATCGAATAAATTAAAAACCTGGATCCAAATGACCCCTTTAAGTCAAATACGACATTCAAAATATAAAAATAACACACAAATACCACATTTCCATAAAGTGAGTTATTTCAACTTACATATAAATCCAAACCAAAAAACTCATCCAAACAACCCCTATATGACGTACTATAAGTAACATTTGTATCTGTTTTTAAAAGGCTGTTACATTTGCTTGTAGAGACAAATAATTTTTTCTATCGAGACAATTAATATTTATGCTCCTAAAGCTTAACTATAGAGGCCATACAATAATTGCCTCTAATTATTTGCCTCTATAGGTTGGTTTTCTTGTATATAGACAGATTGAAGCATGTACTTGATACCTATACTTTTTTGTGATGGATTGGATATTAATCGAGTAATTTATTATGAGGTATGAGTCGGGACAAGTCAACTCATATTGATATATAATTTAAAGGGATAAATTGCAAGTTTGGTCACTCGAATTACTGCAAAATTTCACGTTTGGTCACTCGAATGGGTTTATTTCATTCGTAGTCACTTAAATTAGTTGAACAGTCCAAGTTCGGTCACTCTCCGTTAACCTCCGTTAGACTCCGTTAGTGCCGTCAGCTAACTGCTAACGTGGCTAACAGAGATGACTAGTCACCCAATTTTAACCCAAAAAAAAAAAAAATTTGACCCGCCACGTCATAAAAACCTGACACCTCATATAAACACAATCCAACTCACCCAACATAAAAAAAGGGGATTGATAAACGTCGTCCTTAAAATTATTATTGATCGTCCTAAAAAATAACAAAGTTACACTTTTAACCTTTTGTCATCTTTAGCAAACAAACATCACTTTAACTAAAAAAATGAAAAACACTCAATTTCCCACACTCTCGAATTCATCGTTGACATTCTCGAGTCGTAATCGTTGGGAATAAGTCTGAATCATAAGTAGCGGCTCCGACGAGGTAAAAATCCGATTTTTTTTTCAAAAAAACCCAAAATCCCTCAACCGAAGCCAATTTTCGGTTGTACCATGGATCAACCTAATGCAATTTTCGGTTGTACCATGGACCAACCGAAAATCACCTTCGGTTGCACCATGGCTCAACCGAAAATTGCCTTAGGTTGAGCCATGGTGCAACCGAAGGTGATTTTCGGTTGGTCCATGGTACAACTGAAA